ATCTCAAGCACTTTAAATAAGACCTCTCGATTAAATAACCTCGTATATTAATATAATAGCTAGAGAAAAAAATCAATAAAACACCAATTTTCAGGGTCTCAAATGGGGGCGATTTCATCTCCCCCACCATTGAATATGCCACTGCTTTAAGGTGTAACCAGCGAGGTGTCATTAAAGCAAGTCGTGGGCTGCATCTGGCCCATGAGCTGTAAGAGGTTCCCCCAAACCCTGGCTCAAACAGCTGTTCAGTCCTCCATTCCCTCCTCAAGGTCGCACCCACCTGAATTCATATAGAGAAGATTGAGTCCAGCTTGAGCCATAGACAATTCCACCTGCATAGACATAAGCTTGGTTTTAATTGGCCACAATTACACAAACAGCACATGGAGGAATCTGCCATAGGAATGTGGAATTTCCACCACCATCTCAGGGGCTAGCGACAAAGACGAGCCTTCCCCACTTCGTTAAAGTGTGGAAACTGTTACATTTGTCCAGTGGCGTCCTAACATCAACTCGGGGAGCGATACGTGGAACGTAAATTGAATCAGCTCAATAAAAAAAACATATTGAAACCGCGTTTTACACCGTTGTCGAAAACATCATGGTGCTTGTCAAGGACCCCCCCCCCCCCCCAACTCGTAGCTTTGGCCACCGGGGAAGGGGGGGGGGCAAGGCACCCCCTGCCCCCACGTTAGTTACGCTTCCGAATCTGTCACATTGCCCAAAACGGCCAAAAAAGCTTGAGTCATCTCATTTGCAATTATCACCCCTCTCCCCCTTCCCAACATTATTGGCGACGCGAGCAGTTTTTTTGACAGTTTTTGTTTCACTTGGTAGTCCAATTTTACCAGGGCACCACGGTGGTGAGATGTTAACCACCTCTCCTGGTATACAAGGTCGTGGGTTCGATGAAAACCTTGGCACCTGCTGTATATTTGGAGTTCTCCCCGTGGTCGCGTGGATTTCTCTTCTGGTCCTCCGGTTTACCCCCCCCCCCCCCCAACATTTTAGAATCAACGTGCGTTTCACGTTTTTAGCTGCTCCAAATTTCCACGCGATAAGCCACTTCGTTGAGCCATCATATGACCAAGTCGCTTCTGAAAACGGCTATACAAGCTCAGTGAACCTTTCCTGGGTAAAGTAAAAAAAGTTTATATTTTTATTAGTTTCTACCTGGACACTCCGAACTCACCCGGCTCGGCAGCTCGGCACCCAACGCTCTGACATCCACTCCGCACTCTTGAGCCGAGCTCTGCGTCAGGAGGAGCAGAACCAGACCCAGGCTCCAGACCCATGCCGGTCGTTCCATGACCCCTCAAAAAGCAATGGCACCCTGTGCTTAAAAAAAACCACACCGCGTCCATGCCAGCGATTGGTACGACGACCCCACCGTCAAGAAATACCTCTTTGCTTATTCCCCCAGAATATACAAAGTTACCAAGGTCACAATACAGAGGCGGGCACATCAGAATCCGAGGAGCTATAAAAGCTCTTTCACAGATGTTCACACCTCTAGGTCAACGCGGTATTGTTGCAGACATGGTGCATGTTGTGTGTGTTTCAGTTTTTTCCAGAGGTTTTTGGGTTGGTGCGCGTATAAATGTGTTGCTAACCCGCCACCACCCGACACAGCCAATGAGTCAGGTTTGCCACGGAAATAAAAACGTGCCAATTTGTTACTACTGTAGTTAGTTGAGCAACACCGGTGTGTTGGAGCGTAAACCCACAACATTTACAATTTGAGTACTGACGATTACAATGAGATGCTTGGGGGGGGGGGGGGAACAAACACCAAAATTGTGGCCGATTTAAAGTCACAAGGACAAAGATCCCCTCCCGCCCCCTATAACATGCAGAGCCTGTTGGGGCAAGTGAACCGGATGGCGGCACCCAGGGGAACCATCGCACCGCGGCTCTCGCACAATGTCCGCGATGCAGTCACGGGGGGTACCACCATAAGGATAAAGTGCTGCCGTTAGCGAGTAGCAACCTACGAAGGGTGGCACACGAGGGGGTTGTGGTGGGTGGCCAGCACAACTACTCTGCCTCGCACACCACGGATTGCAAGAGGCACAGGCGGATTTTAAAATTAGACAAATCTGACGATGCGTGTACGCAAGGACTGTTAACAACAACAAAAAACATATCGTCAATAGCAGTTGGACTTAAAAAAAAATCTGCGACGTTTCGGCAACCGATCCTTCTTCATAGCACATATATGAGAATACAGAAGTGCGTCTTACAATCCGGAGAAAACGACAATACACACACACACGGTTACCATTAAGCGAGCTTGAAATTGGAATAAACGCATCATTGAACGGCATAAATAAAAACACGGAGGTGTTAAAATGTTTAAACACCAAAGACACCTATTAACAATGCATCAAGTCTGCATTAACCACAAACTGGCGGTAATAAATGCAAACAAATAAGATTTGACAATATGCTCGCTCTCCTCGATGCCGTAATGTGGCGTTTGAACATCTTAACACCTCCCCGCATTCATGCCAGAAAATATTTTTACTATTCAACTTCTTGATTCTGGCATCATTCGCGTGGCTGTGTTATTACCTTTCGGCGGCCGTGTCTCTGCTTGTGGTGTAAACGCACCGACCACACGCAGACAGAGAGATGGGCAAACTTATTTTCTCCGCGCGGCTCAGCACATTGTGCACAAACAGGACACGTGGGCGCGACCCTGCCACTTTGCAAAAGCGAGAAGGCGTTTTTCTTAAATAGATGCGGGCGGTTCCCGCGGCTTCGGACGCAATTAAGTTAATGCAATTAAATATGGATAATTATTTTTAACACGAGCTTATCAGTTGCACCTGGCCTAATGATCTACAGGTGAGCGATTCAAAACACGCTCGTCTCTGATTACCTATTTGGGAACAGGTGGGTCCGAGTCCATACCTGTCAACCCCTTATCAGTGCCCTACCTTATTACAGACCGATTCAGACCTTATTGGTCACCCCGTGCCCTTATAAATCCCAACGTTCATCCTACAAAGTCCCATCATAAGGGAGAAACACAAACAGACAAAATTGATTTTTTTTTTGCCCGTATTGAAACAGCTGTACGCCGTATGGACCTGAAAACGCTATTTCCCTGTAAAAGAATACGGGGTAAACCGTGTGGGTTGACAGGTATGTGAGTTTAACCATTTGCAGGGTCGCGTTCTCTCTGATGGGTGAGCTATTCAGAACACGTGGTCTGAAAAGCGATCTCATTATCACTAACTGATTATGCCTAAAAAGAATACAAAATGGCCTTTATTCCCCACAAACTTTGCTTTTGTGACTAGGACTTTACGTGAACGAAAGACACAAATGCACACCGCGTTTTGTCATTGAAAATATGTACATTTCAAAATATCACTGTCCTGGTCACAAAAGCAAAGTTTGTGGGGAATAAAAGCCAATTGCCATTTTCTGTACTTTTGAGGCATAATAAATTAGGAAATAACACTTACTACCCAGGGACAAATGTTATACAGTGATAATCATCAATTACGGAACACGTGATCGAGATGAGCTACTCACATCACGTGCTTTTGGCATGCGAGTTACTGAAAACGTTTGCTTAATGAAACGATCCGTCTCGGAACACATGTTGAGAATCGCCTATGTCTCGCGAGGCTTTGCAAAAGAACGGAGTGTCAATTGTTTAAGAACACGGGGTGTACCATTTGTAAACTATCATTTGTGGCCAGGTCGCTTCTGAAAAAGCGATAGCTCAACGGGCTTCACCTGGTAAGTCACAAAAAAAAGTTTAGTTTTATTTAGAGATATTTTTTCAGTGATTTGTTTATCTTTCCTATACTTTGCAATCCTGCCGTGTTTTTGTATTGTCTACCCCAACTGTGAAAGAGCTTTATGGCTCATCGGATTCCTCCAGTATAAATACATATTCAGATTCGAATGATACATTGCAAACCGGTAGTGATAAAAAAAATCACTGGTATCCGATGTTTTGTTTCAAAACAGAAATATCTGATAATAGCAAATAATCATGTGTGTGACTACGTCAGCCAGAATGTCCCCGCTCTCGTCACATCTAGGAGGCTAAACAGAGTTGATTGCTTGGATGAACGACCACCACCATGTATTAATCACTTGGCGATGCTGCTGCGTCGGCCGTGTACACAAACCCAATTCTAGACGAATGTGTCGACGTTTAAGACAGACTGAAGGTGACTTGAGTGCGCTAACATTATTCAACTGGCTTCCAGGTGGAAAACAATTACCTCGAGTACCCAATTGGTGTGGATAAGAATCTTCCAGTGCGGATACACACAAGGGTTGTGGAACATTACGCGGTAACGCTGTCATCGTTTTCCGAATCTATTGATTGGATTCTCCTGGAATTCAGTAGTCCTCTTGACTGGCACGTGTGAACATTCATATGGCAGGGCGGTCTAAACAAATTACCGCGTGGTACAATTTGCACTCGTGTCCCAGTGAAAAGGTGGAGCTCTGAACTAACTCGCGTGCTTTCTCGCATCACTGCTGTCGTAAATGCCTCCACTCGAGGGAGCTGAGGTTATTTGGTCACCACTTCCACAGGCCAGGACGTGTTACGAGCGGAAGGCGTACCCACACTTTACCCCACCACTAACGTGTGGTCTAGCAAGTTTATACTGACACGGTGGATAACTTTCAACCTGATGCTTTTCCCGCCGCGCCGGGAGATCGAGTCGAACAAGCGCCCTCGGGACTGCAAGCACGGCGCGCTAAGCTCACCCTTCCGTTTTTTTTAAGTTTAAAAAAGGTAAACATCTCGAAAGTATATCAATTGCTGGACATTTGTGTGTGCGGCAAATCGGTAACCAGTTTAACTGTTGAGTCTTTTTCCCATGTGATTACCGGTAATGACACCGGATGAGCCACCCTAGCAAACATCGTCTGTGGGCCATCTGGGATCGCGAGGCCTCATGGGATCGCGGGCACCTGACCCACGCGAATAATGTCGAACACAATGAATACGCGTGCAGAAGTTTGTTCGATAGGAGTGTGGCTTTAATGCGTAAACATCTTCATTCCACCTCCCGACATTCGCAGCAAACCTCCAGGCCGATGTACACACCGTGGCTTGATTTAATGTTGCAAGTGGAACATTTAAAAAAATATACAACGGACGACTTGGAAGCGCAAGAGGATTGTAAAGCACGACGTTGCCCCCAGGCGCAACAGTTGTGGAGGATGGACAGAGATCTGAGAAGACTGGGGGGTTTAAGCCAACATCTGATATTGATTATCAAGAAGAGAACTTGCCACTATTTAACCGATACCACTTCCTCCCCCCCACCAAGACTCGCCCCTTAAAATGGAAATCTCTGGACATGCCCCATCCCCTAATCTATTATATTAAATAACATAAATTATAAAATACAATATATAAATGAACACACGCGAAGCTTGTTGTAATCACTAACGCAATTGTAGCGAGGCATATATACGTTTTAGATTGTTTTAGTACTTGTTCTTACCCTGTAGTATACTAAAATCAAGTTCAATTCGCTGTGCTTAAGTGCAAACATATGTGGCGGATTCATGAAATGGAAATTTGGCATGCTAGAGGGGCTTGGGGTGGGCCTTCATCTAGCAGTGGATCAAGCGTGGTTGGTGAAAATCTTAGTTCACCCTTGGGATGCCTTGCCCCGTCTTCCATACGTGGCTTTGTGGAAGAAGACCCATTGGTTGATGTAAACGTTTAATTCTGGTAATTCCTCCTACCGATTTCGCACAATCAACAATTTGTTAGTGCATCACGCTGTTGGGACCACGGTACACTGGATTTCAGCTGGGCTAACTTAACACAGCAAAGTGGGCAGTCATCGCACACCGTGACGAATTCTTGCCATGAGCGAGGAACGAATAAGACCCGTACAATGCACCAGGTGCAATTGGGTCGCACGACATGATTCACCACTGTCATCTCCCACACAACAGATAAGAGCTGACCAGCTGGTGGTGGCCCCTACATCCTGCCTCTCGAAGGCAGAAAAATGCCTACAAGCCAAGAGCAACACCGCTGACGATGTCATTGTGTTCACCATCCATGCAATAGTAATCCACATCCGCACGATGGCCAGTACCGAACCGTGGTGCAAGCAGCACATTTGCTGTTACCATCTTCCAACAAAGATTCCCCGTATAGCCTTAAAATACTTTTTGGGAAAGTGCTGTTAGCGATCACCTTATGAAGGCCGGCACGGCACACGAGGGGGTGAGTGGCCAGCACCACGCCCGGCCGACTTTGTCTCCCTTGTAAGTGTTTACACATTACACCAGGCACTCATTTGAGTTGACCTTTGGGAGGCCTAGGACCGGTTCAGATAATCGTCAGTGGCTGTGTGCGGGGAATCTAATTTGAGTCACTCGGTTTGTCGTGCAACAAGCTAACCGCTACACTTATCGCTCCCAACAACCGCCATTCGCCACTAAGTGGTGGTGACGTCACCACGACGCTTGTGCCAGGCTATGTGCACCTTGAGGCCACGTGAAGTGTCGAACGCCCGCTAGCAGGTCACGGGGCAGACCCAGGTGCCACGGGTCGACTGAGATGACTGGCTGATGCACCACCTGTGCCCCCTACTGTGCGAACTTGCTGTACTTTAGCCACCCGGCGCTCCGCTCGTTGTTGCGAGCGTCGGTCCCCCGCCCTCCGTTGTTGATGGAGGGCGACTGCCTCCAACTGCCCAGTAGCGTCCTTCACGAGCCGCCTCCAGAGGCTGATCTTGACACCGCTGGTACCGGTCATCGGCAAGTCCACTCAGCTCCACGTCCTCCTGTACCACATCTTCTCTAGCCCATGCCGCGCCCGTTTAGCCCCCTCGATCCGGCCGAACAAAAGCTGTTTAGGCAAGCAGTGACTGGGCATGCGGGCTACATGGCCCAGCCAACACAGCCTTGCCTGCTGGAGCTCACCGATGGGACTTTGTCCAGATCTTTCAAGGATTTGTGATCTCCTCACAATCCAGCCTGGTTAAACCCAGGATGGATCGTAGGCAGGCCAGCCTAAATGTTTCTAACCGGCGAAGATGTTCCATTAGGGGGGTCCACGTTTCGCAAGCGTAGAGAAGGGAGGGAATGACCGTGAAGCTTCGTGCGGAGTGACAGACCAGGTAGCTTCCACACAGCGTTACACAACCGATGAAAAGATATTGCCGCTCGACTGACGCGGATTGAGACCTCTGCTGTTAAACCGGAGTCGGTCATAAGCACACTGCCCAGGTATGGGAAACTCTCCACTCTCTCCACAACTGCCCCATCACTAATTGGGAGTTGTGGGGGTGGAGTGTCCGATGGTACAAATTACCCTGGCAGGTGCTTAGTTTTGGTGGGGCTGATGGTAAGGCCCCACCTCTTAGTGGCAATCTCCAGGTTTAGCAGCAGCGCCTCCAACTCCTCCTCTGAGTGAGCAGCGATTACCAGATCATCGGCATACATAATATGGTTGAGCAATAGGGAGCTCGCTCCCAACATACACATGCATACAGGCAACTCTCATTTGACTCGCACATTTAAACTTAGAAAAACACAGATCAGTCTATGCAGCTGCTTTTTGTGCAAGGTATAAAAAAACAAACTAGAAAAGAAAACACATTTACAATAAATTCTAAACAATATATAGTAATAATAAAAACAGACATTTTTATAAAATAGGAATGGACGAGTTAACATTTCAATAATATAATGCACATTTACAAATAAAAAATCGTACAAAAAAAATGCTAAAGTTGCACAAGTTCGGAAGCATTAGGAAACATGTTGTCACGTGAAGTAGCGTGTGGGAGACTGTTATGTGACGAGAGTTGTGTGACGGACGCTTGTTTATGTCCACCTGGAGGCAAATAAACTCGCGGAAACCCCACACTCCATGGGTCCTATTACCCAACCGGTCTAAATACGGATTCACACCTCCAGCGATCAGTAGCGCAACCATTCCTTCTTGGAATCGCACAACTCAATCGCCTCCTTACACGTGAACGTCCCTGGTTTTGAAGACGTCCGCATATAAGTGATTCAATCGCACACAGCCAAGTTGCGCAACCGATCGCTCAGGTGCGGACCAGTCTTAAGGCCTGTCAAGGACAATGTCCTCCTTACCCCTGAAAATCAAAGGCAACCCCCCTAGACTTTACGCGCCTCCCAAACCTTCGCACGGCATTGCATGGCTAATCAGCAGTGCAGTTGTGGCTCGTGTAAGTTTACAATGTGGACTGGGTTTAGCAGACTGCAGAGTGCACTCGTGCTTGCTAGATTTAACAGTTGGGGTGAGGAAGGGAGCAAGGCAGAGGCATTTGGAGAAGCCCCCCCCCGATTGGGGGAGGCAGATCAGCTGCGGCAGAAGTCCGTCTGGACGTGGAGACACACCCGGCCACTGATGGGACACTGCATTGTGAAAATTGCATATGCGTGGCCACAAAAGCGCTTCTCTGCAATTTTGCAACTCTTAACTATCCAAGGCATCAACGCCGTTACGAAGGCCACTGCATAACTGGATGAGCCTTTTAATCCGGATTGGTACAACGGTGTGCCGATCACTGCTCTGATCCATTACACCTTCAAGGTAGGGGTGGGTTTGTGGTCTATCCTAAGTCCAAACACCTACCTATCCTTCAGAAGAGGTAGCAGCATTGGCTGCATATGAAATTAATCAGTGGTATTTTCTTTCCTTTAAATTTGCCAAAGGCAGCAGCAAACGGTGAGCAATAGAAATTGCAGCAGGGCCAAGTATTGCCGCTGAAGCAAAAGTGCAGCTACAACACATCCTCAGCCTAACCTCTTCTCACCCCCGACAGTCTTTCACACATCGATCCAACACTCGCTCCAAAGCACAGCTTGCAGAGACGACAAGCAAGCGATCACTCCGTGCCGCACGCCACCCTCACGATCCAAGCCCAATACTAACAGCCCTGCAGTTGGTGGACATGTCAGGCTTATAAAGAGGGCCCACTGTTCAATCTAATATCAAAGCATGGGAGGGCTTTAAGTCTGCACAAGGGGTCCCAATTTGAGATCCCCCCCCATGACAAACAATAAAAGTACTATCTTTCCCATCCGCCCACCCATCATCCCCTCCCAGTGGGCCCCAGATCTGCGTCATGCAACTAGCGCCCCCTAGCGCTTGGTAACGCAGCCACCTGCTCCAGTCAACGGGAAAAAATGTGCGGCTTACGGTAGGGACCGTGTGTGCCGCGGTGTGGCGTGCGCGGTGCAATGTTGCGGTGTGACGTGGCGGGGCGAGGTGGCTCAGAGTGGCGGGGGGCTCGCAACCCATCCGAAGGCCTGACGGATCCTGTGGAAGTAGTGGCGCTGCCAGTCGTGGCGCGTGGCCTCCTCGTGCCTGAGCGGCACGTGCAGGCAATCGAGCCGCAGCTCCGTGTTGCCGCCGTCGGCCTTCCGCAGTCGCAGCGTCACGTCGGCGTAGTGCTCTGCGTCGCACCGTCACGCCGGCAGACAACGGGGGGAGAGCGAGGAAGGGTAAGGGCGGGTCGATTCATCCATTCTCATGGTCAACGATACGTTTATTATGAGTGTTTGGCTGCTAGAAATGTCCACGTGACTTCGTTGAGCTATCATTCGTGGCGAGGTCGCTACTGAAAAAGAGCTATGTAGCTCAGTGGGCCTTGTCTGGTAAAATAACAAAATAGTTTAAGTTTTTAGTAGTATGTGAAAGGTAGAGGGGGGCACTGTTGCAGATTTTTTTAATTCATCCAAAAAAAGAATCTGGCCTAAACACTCAATTTCGGAGGATATGCAGCTCAGTAAAAATTTTTAAAAGACCTGAAGCTATGGTGACGTCAGTTCTGCTGCCAATTTCCTGCCAAAAGTGGTGTCACATTGCGTAGGATTACAGGCGTGCGTTGTATCCACCACGCCCAAGATGGAAGATGGCATTTACACTCACCCTCTGGCCACGTCTTGCATCGCCACTTCATGACAATTCGCTCATTCTCAACCTGCAGGCAAACACGCAGAAGACACAGTACACACACTCTTGTTGTTCACGTTGTTGACGTTGTAATTTAGACTTGAGGGTTATGGATCATAGTGGGCGGTAAGTCGAACATTCGTGCCTGAAGTGAAATCCATTTCCGTTTACTCTCAAATGAATATAATGGGGAATAAACATCACTGAAGTGGTTGAGTTGAGGTTTAAGATTCAGTTTCGTACAGTGGTGATGATTTGTATTTCGCATGAGGAGTTATGTTTATGAGTAAGCATATTTCTCATCCCCTTGAAAATCCACTGCTGGATAAAGGCCTCCCAAAAATGTGTCAGCTGTGGTGATTGTATTGACCGTACTTCATCATGCTGGCCAGTGCCGGTAGGCAAAGGTGGGGTCATTACCGGTTCAGATATAACGCACCACTTAAGATGTCCAGGTTCTTAGCACAGTGCACTAATCACTGCTAAAATGGATTATTTAAATATATTCATAATGATTTTTATGCCGAGTGTCTGCTGCTGCTGTGTCCTATACAGCGCATTGAGATTCTTGATGAAAAGCGCTACATAAAAATAATAATGATTAGTGTCTAGAGTTTTGTTTCAGGGTTGTGTGTGAGAATTTAAGGGTCAGTGTTTAGGGTTGGAATGAGATTTGGGCACAGGGTCAGCTGGACCGGGGCCTCACCAGCTCGCAGAACTCGCCGCTCACGTTCCCGTTCAACATTCGGATGCGGCCACCCTTCTCCGGCTCCACCAACGCTGGGGCATTTGTGAAGAGGGACACCAGCTACACAGCAAGACAAAGACCCCACTTAACAAACCTGTTGAAGACAAGTGCTAGTAGCCGAGGACCTACGAAGGCCAACAGCACACGCCTGGCCACCTTTGTCTCCCCAGTGGTCATGTTTATACATTGGACCAGGTACTCATTTAAGGCGACTTAGGGGAGGCCCACAGCCGGATCAGATATTTGTGACCAGTGTTGGCCATAAGTGGGAATAAAACTAAAGATGCAGAGTTCATCGTGCAGTCCGCTTACCACTACACCAACCGCTCCCCCACAAATGGATCCATCACAATAACAGCAACCACCATTGACCATTAAGTGGCGGTAATGTTACCGCAGCGCTTGTGCCAGGCTAGTCCTCAAAGCCTTAACAGACTGTTGGGGCAAGTGCTGTGAGCAAGCACCTACGAAAGACGGAATGGCAGACGAGGGGGGTGGATGGGCAGTACCTTGTCTCCCGAGTAGCGATTTTTAGACATCACCCCAAGTACTCATTTGAGGCCGAGTCGACTTTGGCGAGGCCCAGGACCGGTTCAGATAATCGTCACTGTTGGTGGCCGTGAGCGGGAATCGAACTCAGGATGCTGGGTTAGTAGCGCTACGCGCTAGCCGTTACACTCCCGCTCCCCACAGGGGAGATCCCCACAGGGGAGATCACCACCCCCCCTCGCACACAGCGGCGTCGTTATCTCTGGCCGCACCTCCTGGGAGGTGAATGTGCGGTACAGCTCCTCGGCGCACGTGGGGAACGTCTCCATTAGAACCACGGAACACGTCGGGATGCGAACTCCGACCTCTTGGCTTGGCCGCCGGGCACAAGCATCTTTCTGCTGTGCAGAGACATAAGCAAACACAACACGCACATTATGCACCTACCACAGGCACAATACATACAACACACGCATTACACTATATATGTCAACACGCACTATACACACGCACCACATGCACTATACACACGCACCACATGCACAATACTCACAATGCATAACACACACCACATGCCACGTACATACCACATACAACATAAAGACAACACGCACATTACACACACTACATGCCTCGGTAAGGAGACGGTTCCCCCAGCCGTGCTTTAGGTAATTTGAACACGACGCTGGAGGTCGTGGTGCCACACCAACCCACCTGCTCGTCGTGCCCAATCGGCAACGTGGCGTCCGGCGTTTGGCAAGTGATGCCGTTCTTGGCGGGGAGAATCATGCCCTGCGTGAACTCTTTACCAGCGGTGAGCGGTCAGAGACGCGGAGAGGTGTCGGGGTGGAGACACAGCGAAAAGAGACACGCAAAAACACAAAGATACGGGGACACAGACACAGAGGTTTAACCATCAGTGTACACGTTATTGCGAGTGTAAACCCGTGGTGTACCTTGCACCTGTCTGTCCTAGAGGGGCCAGCAGGAAGCACAATAATGATCGCTGTGGAAGTGAATGGCAAGTATTCAAAAGTACAATTGGTTTGGATTTTCTACTTTATTCACAGAATTTTGCTGTATTTGTATACTTTGCATTTAAACGCACGACTATTAGAAGTTATGTTTTTAAGTGTAATTAATCATCATCATGAGCAACTGTCTTTCCACTGCTAGATGAAGACTTCCCCATGTCATTACCATCCCTCACTGTCCGCCGATGCCACAATCAATCTCACTCATTGCTCCGTCTCCGCAGCGTGCACCTGCCCAGCCTTGCTGACTTTCCTTAACGGTTCCACGCGACTCCTCTGGTTGAAGGAAATGTGAATTAACTTCCAATGCCTGTGGGTCACGGCCTTCTCACCGGACTTGAGTGTGCGGACGTAAGTGACCAGCGCGTGCTTGATGCCGTCGACGCCCGCAGTCCTCATCACCTCCAAGAGCGGCGTCTCCGCCTCGTCCTTCTTGAGGCTCACCGCCACCTGCCGCCCCCCCCGGATGACACGAACGTTCGGTATTAGCGCCTATCCTGTTGTGCAAAGCTATAACACGGGTGGCTACGTACGGTGCGCAAGAAGTTCAACATACATGCGTTTCACATATGTAGTCTCCAGCAGTGTTAGAGTCAGGCGGCGGTGTTCGTTGCGTGCAATCCCAATAAGTAATACGGACCACCAAGCCGGCATACAATGGCTAATGGCTTTCTCATTTCGAATGACGACAGAGGGATCTTTAACGTCCACTTTGAAGCAGACGGTGCGTATTAGACGGTTAATACACCCGCAGTAATAACCGGGTGGGGGGGGGGGGGCCTGACAGATTTGAACCGTGTGAACCTCTGCTTCAAAGCTCCTTGAGAATAAACGGGCAGGAGGGTGGGGGCGCTCCCGCCAGGGTCAGCAGTGATGCACCTCTATCTCGTCAATGTCGTTCTCCTCCGAGAGGTTGGGAATCTTCACGATACCACTGTACTTGGTGCCCATGGCACTGCCAGTAGCTGCAGGGAAGCGAGACGGACACGACGCACAGTTTAGAAAGAGAAAGCAAAACCGGGGGACATCAAATCGGCAGCCAGGTGAGGGAGTCTTCAACGTACGAGTAAAAGGGCTGAAAACGCATCGCCCGTCAAGACACCGAGGGATCGGTAACCTAACGCTCATTCAAGCACCTCCCGATTAACACAGTTGGCTAAGTCCGGTGCGAAAGAAGTTCAACAACCACATGAAGATGACAGTCGGCCAAACGATTAAATAAACCGAACTGACCCAGTGACCAAACACTTCATTGGGAATGTAGCAATTGGTCACCTGCCCCAACCCCTTCCTGAAATTCAATAAATTGTCAGAATTTTGGGTTGTGATTCAAGAATGAATTAATTTGTCTTAATTTTGTACATCTTCTTGGCATTATTTTTAACTCTCAATTATAAATGTTTCGTCTGCTCTGCGAGCATACATTTCTCATTATTCAATTTACATATGATTTGCATAAACTGTAAATGACTTTCATCACATGCACAATATGATTCAGGTGTCACAAATGTCAGAATGATAAATAAGTCTTAAAAATGGCCTTTAATTAGCGAGGAAAGCCTCATTGAGTCTCGAGACTATTTTACTCAAGAGGGCCCTACATTGTGGTGCTTGACCAATGCCATTAATGAGTGCTTGGCTCATAGTGCAGCATATATGTATGTTGAACTTCTTTCGCACCGTACGTAGCCAACCGTGCTAATCGAAGGTGCAGTGCGCCAACCCCTGCGATTTCACTCCACCTTTTTGTACGGCCGTCATACCAAAAGCGCAAACACAGTCCCACAACGGGGACTGCTACTGCAAACGGAGTTCCCATACTTGTCAACCCCTAATCAGTGCCAACCTTATTACAGACCAATTCAGACCTTATTGGTCACCCCGTGCTCTTATACATCTCAACGTTCATCCTATCACAAACGGCTGCACGCCGTATGGACCCGAAAACTCTATTTCCTTGTACTAGAATACGGGTAAGCCGTATGGGTTGACAGGGATGTGTTCCTGTCCCTGCTGGTGCTGGCCTGTGCCACACCTTGCCAAGCGAGCTCCAGGTCCCACTCGTAGAAGAAGATGAGCTTGCCCTTGCGATTGTTGCAGGAGGCCTCGCCCTGCACGCGGGTGACCTCCGTGACCTCGCACGACCCGTCCACAGAGGTTGCCCGCACGTCCAGGAGCAGCTGCCGCAGCAGATCCTCTGACCACTTGGTCACATCGCGCTCCGTCCTGCAGCGGCGAGTCAGGTGGTGTTTTAGGTCCGAGGTGGTGGCATCAAGGGAAGCCACACAAGACAAAAATGTAATGGCCGTTATCCTGTACATTAAGGGTATGGAACCTACAGCCGACAGGCTAATTACGGCACACAGCCACGAGACGCAAGGCCGGGTACAAACTGCTGAGCAGATCGATGCATGAAAACAGATCTCTCTATGGTAACCAACTGGTTAAACAAACTGCTCACACCTGGTTGCAGAAATGTCCATGAGATTGAGATGCATGCAATATGAGCAACTGATTGCTTAAGTGTGGACCTGCCTTTACACTTAAAAATTACCCCCTTTTCAACGGTTTTACTTAACTTGATTCCTTTGTTCGTGGTGGTCAAATCTTGAAATCTAGATTTCGTCCACTTCCCGTTGTCCAATCATTTCCACATTTTGCACACGTACTCAAATCCGGTGACAATGCATGCCTCTATCAAAATCGGCATCAATTAATTCGCTAATTTAAAGCAATTAACATTTTGTATGGACGCCTTATTATATATTTGTGTGTAGGTCAAAAACGCCGTGGTCCCTAAACTGTGGAATCGGCTCGCACAAAACGCAGGCGCCACGTGTATCTCAGGCGCCATTGACGTATTTCTCGACCGTGAGTTAAACCAAGTTGTTAATAAAACGTTGCTTTAAAAAAACCTTTTTAAAGGAGTTTGAGTTAAATGATTCCACAAAGACATAGACGATAATACACGGAAGCAACTTTATAAACGGCATGGGACCAGCTCCGTGATTTCAAATGTACATTGGTGCAATCATTAAATCTCTTTTTTGCATGGGTCAAATGTGTCAGACAATTAGGGTTATAATTACGATAGAAGTAACGTGTGCACCATGATTGACACAGGAGATACGCTCGCGAAACTCCACACGCTCAGAGGTATCCAAACTGACTTGTTTTATTCATGCTGGGATGCTGATGGTGCATTTATTTTAATTTATTTGTTAAACCATTGATTTTTTCCATAAATAAGGAATATTTTCGACGTAGACTCCAAAGTTACTTCCTAAAACTGTCTAAATGACACTCAATATGCATTTCTGATGTCAAGGGTAATCTGTAATCAAGGTCGCACGTGGCGCAGCCGTGGGAAGAATTATAAAAATCCTCACCCAGCAGTATAGATTGGTACACCAGTTAGTCGATTGGCACATCACATGCGGTGGGGTAAAGTGTGAGTATCCCCACGTCTGGCCAGCGTGGAAGAGTAGGCTGAAACACCATCAAGCAGGGCTCTTTAGCAATTACTTGCACTAGCAGTGGAGCAAGTAATTGCTGGGCTGCAGTTATTTTTTATGATACTGGGATGATTTACATGAACTATACTGTTCTTGTACTGGTAGGAACCTCCTGGTTCCACCAGCCCACAGGGGATTATTGTGTCCGTCCGTCCATCATGCAGGGAGGGGCTGGGTGGGTGGGGAGGGTGGGGCTGGGTGGGGAGGGGCTGGGTGGGGAGGGTGGGGCTGGGTGGGGGGTGGGGCTGGGTGGGGAGGGGCTGGTCACCCTGTGGTGCCCTTATATAACTCAACATTTAACCTACTCACGCCGGCTTGTGCCGGCCCTTACAGTCGGGCATATTTGCGGAATACACCACGCCGCCGTTGACCCTGGCCATTGACCGAGCAACCCAACGTTCCTACCAGCTCCCTCCGCAGGAATGTGTTAAACCGATATCTTAAAAAAAAAAACTGTGCTCAATTTCTGATTAGGGTCCATCATTACCAGCACCACCAACGTCTGTCCCTTCGTGGTTGGGAAAAATCAGCACCATTGAAGTGACTGAATGGTGGCAAGTCTCTTATACAAGCGCACAACTTTATCTGTGATGAACGCTGCTCATTTTCATGCAGGGGGCGCTGCAAACCTACGCGCCCCCAGGAGGCGCAGGGACAGACGTTCGATTACGTTGGAATCGATCTGCAGACGGCGGTTTTCTCATGCGGCCAGCAGCTCTATGCCGCCTTATCTTGATGCCGCAATCCCAAACAGGTGAAAGTCCGCATCGAACCGAACCCCCAGCAAGGCCATCGACTTAACGACGAGAGAAAATTCACACGAAATGTCGTTTTCAATTAAGTCTTCCAGATGTAAAATGATATAAGCTTTTAATGAAGAAATAAAATGGTCTAATTCAAAACATAATACAATTAAAAGATATTATCATAGTGTGTTTTTGTTTGCATTTTGACTGCAAGTATTGTGGTTAATACAGACATGAATCCTTGTAAAAAGGTTTCAGTTTTGTTTGCCAGAAAAAAGGAGGAAAACCCTATTATTATATTTGCTACTGGCAAAGGAGGTCTAATGATGTAGATGATCACCCCGAGCCCTCATTACTTTGATAGTGCCTTGTCTTTGAGCTGTACGCCTTTTGGCGTCCTCTGGTCGAGCACCAATTGGGTCGAGGCTCAAAAGAAAGCCATCCCTTGGTGTGGAACAATCAGTTTCAAGGACAATGCATATATAATATCAGTATGTTTTTGTTTGCATTTTGACTGCAAGTATTGTGGTTAATGCAGACATGAATCCTTGTAAAAGGTTTCAGTTTTGTTACCAAAAAAAGGGGAAAAACCCTATTATTACAATTCAAAGATGTTTCATTTTAAAACTTCAAAACGGAGCAACGGGTGCTTGCGTGAATGCGTCGTTCGTGTGCATTTTTTGTGACTTTCCTGGCCAAAGGCCGTAAATGGTTGATTGATATGTCATAGAAATGTGGAATTTCAACGATTTGCACCGAGACCCTAAGAAAACGACCACCATGAGACAAGAATATAATCCATAAACAGCCCTTTGTTAATCAGCACGACTGGAGAGCAAGGCCTACTCACGCCGTGTCCGTCACGGGGCCTTTGTGACCATACTTCACCACGGTGGGCAGTGCGGGTTGGTGAATAAGGGGGGTTGTAACACAGCAGAGTACATCTACTGGACATCTGTGAAAAAGAGCTTTGTAGCTCATCGGATTCCTCCCGTATAAATATTCTGAAAGTGTGCATACTTTAGTAAATTACATGTTCAGCTAATTATTGACATTACATGCAATGAGAACGTCAAGATGATAATTGTGCACGCAGCCTTTGCTCACTCCACTGCTGAATGAGGGACTGCTAGCGAGGAGCGCCAGAGGTCGCAACCGGGTACCCGATACCCATACCCTACCCGATACCCGGCTACCCGTACCCGGCCGGGTACGGGTACGGGTACCCGTTTGCGACCCTGGTGTGGCCGGGTACGGGTAGACCGTGAGTCACTGGTGAGTAACTGTTTATCACTCATTTCCCAACGTCTTGTCTCTTCTCACAATTCAAGTTCCTAGAATCAACCCACCCGCGCCTGCAACATGGCTTCATCCCAGAGGTCACAATCAGGTACCCGATACCCGTACCCGGCCGGGTACGGGGGTAGGGTACGGCTGGGTACGGGTACGGTACCCGTTTGCGACCCTGGTGCGGCCGGGTACGGGTAAGGAATCAAAACCCGTTTGCGACCTCTGAGAAGCGCCCACGTGCCAGTGGCGAGATGGTCGCTGGACCATCCATCCCTCGCCACGCCGGTCAAAGTGCACGGTGGGCGAATCCTGTACGTCAGTTATAACGGGAAGAGAATCTTTAATGCAGATATCACACACGTCGCTTGGCATCGCTGCACGTAGCTATACGATACAAACCGAGAGGCTTGACGATAATAGCGTGAATTATTAATGGGCGGATGTACACACGTGAATTCATCATCGGTGTCACAATTTTCATTTATACTGGAGGAATCCCGATGAGCTTTGTACATCGCAGATGTACACTTGACGATAATTATACATTAGCGGATATACTCACACGCGAATTCATCATCGGTGTCAGAATGTGTTTATACTGGAGGAATCCAATGAGCTGTAAAGATATATTTTTTCCCTTAGATGTCCGGAGACATCGGAGGCGATATGGGAGACGTGGGGTTTTTAACGAAGCTTATGCCGCACAAATTATCGTGCGCATCCCCGGCACGTTGAGTGCGCCACATTCCGATAAAACGCTTTGGTGATGCTGCTGCTGCTTCGGTAGTTGGTGCACAATCAATGAAACGTTACAACAACAAACAATATCGCCCATCAACAACAAACAATATCGCCCATCAACAACAATACCACCCATCAACAACAAGCAATATCACCCATCAACAAATACCACCAATCAACAAATACCACAAAGCAATGCTCAAATATCACCCATCAACAAATACCACCCATCAACAACAAATACCACCCATCAACAACAAATACCACCCATCAACAACAAATACCACCCATCAACAAGCAAACAATACCACTCATCAATAAATACCACCCATCAACAAACAATACCACCCATCAACAAACAATATCTCCCATCAACAAACAACACCACCCATCAACAGTGGCCAATCCACTGCTGGATGAGGGCCTTCCCCTCACCCCCAAGCTAAACTACCCCAACACCACCACCCACCACGACCCAGCTGACCCAGCGACATCCACGCAACGCAATTCTCTTCGTAATGTCGCCTTCACTTCGCTGTCGTGCAACACGCGACCGGCAGAATTGGTGAACGATGCCGAGGGAGTTGTTGATGTTGTTGTTGATGTTGTTGCTGATGTTGTAGTTGTTGTTGTTACGCACCAGTGCCAGTTGTTGACGTTCGTGGCGTCCGCCCGCTCCTCCACGATCCACCTCGGGTCTCCCTCGCCCCACTTGGCCATCGCGGCGACAACAACAACCACCACCACCACCACCGACTACGACAGACACACAAACAAACAACAACGAGTTTGCAACAAAATTAAAAACGTGCGCGCTCGTGAATTAGTTGATCTCTCGCTTGATTGCAGAGGGAGAAGGGGGGAGGAGCCAGAGCCGTGACCCGGAAGCAAAGAACCTTCCAGACGTGACCCCCAAAGACAAAGGTCCCCCGTGTAGCCTTGCCACAGGCTGTTGGGGCAAGTGCCGTCAGCGTGCAGCGCCTATGAAGGTTGCCCGCACTGTGGCACGCGAAGTTGGGGCAGCAACCAACCACGCCCGGCCGCCTTTGTCTCTCTCCTCTCCCCGCCCCCCCCACACAGCGGAGATGTTTACTACCCACCCGCCACCGGGGTGCTTATTTGAGGCCGAGTCGACCCTAGGGGAGGCCCAGGACCGGTTCGGATATTTGTCCACTGGTGGTGTTGGTGGCCGTGAGCGGGAATCGAACAATGCGGTAGTTTTACCGGGGGGGGGGGGGGGGGTTGCGTAACGGGATGATGTCATCGCGTCGTTGCATAAGCGCGGTGCGGCGTCTACGTTGTGACGTCATGACGTCTACTTTGTGATGTCACGGCTTCCTCTTTGCCCCCCCCCCCCATCTCTATAGCAAAGGAAAAGAGAAATACCTAGGATAGTTATTCGTTTCTGGCTTGGACCTCATACAAAGGCTGAGTGAAGACAAGACTTTTGGAGCTGACCCTTACGTGAGACCTGAACCAATGTCCAGTTTCCTGGGTGAAAAGTCGGCCGAGTTTTGTTTCCCAATCATGCCCAGTTGGCTCACAAACTTAAGAAACGAATTATATTATTTTTAGCTATGGGGGTGGGGGGGAAACCGGAAAACTGGAAGAAACCCATGCAGAACAGAAGAACTCCACACAGTACGGTGTTCAAGTCAAGATCGAAGCCAAGTCCTTTCTGTTGCGGCACACGTGTCAACCACTGCACCACAATGTCACCACCCAGAAAAGCTTCGGGATAACCAGGACAGCCTTCCTTAAACCACCGGGATGGTCGGGGCCAAACCTGGACTTTGGGTATCATTACCCCAAGCACGATTGTGGTGTACCCCAGTATTAAATGGGAGCTGCCGTATTTTCAGACCTGCGGTGGTGGAATTCAGATGTTTGGGAGTCTGGCAGTGATGCTGAGGTTTACACTTTTATTTCAACGAATGCCAACGAAAATTACGAGGGCACAACACGCACTTGAAATGTCCACGAGTGAATTGATTTTATACACGTAAAGTACGGCAGGCCCACTCGCCCAAGCCAAGTTCAACACCGTGACGAATGCATAATTTTACAACTTTGCTTCATATGAACACACTTCACTATATTTTTGTACAGTAAACGTGAGCGACATATGGATCCATCTTGTGCGAGGACAACAACACCAGCGCTTATGGCTGTACACGCCTTTAAGCCGTGGAGGGGCAAAGGGAGGGAAGAGAATGGGCAAGAGAGGTGAGCTAAGTGGAACGGAAGGATGAAGGGGGCAGTTAATGTAGGATCACAGAGCTTGGGTAATTGTTGGCGCCAGTTCGTTGTCTTCCCGCTTGTCCGTGATTTCCTGCGCTCCTGAATCATTCTCTCCAGAGATTTAACAAAAACTGCATGCGTCACAAATTCAGGTTGATGGCCCATTGATTCTGACACATCATATCTACCAATGGCCACTGCAAATCAGCTCCCCGATGTGTTTTCGGGGTTGTACTGGCTGTCTTTTGTCTCCACACGGAGCATGGTGTCTCGAAGTCTTCGTGCCATGTGCAGAATTCAGTTCCTGAAGCTCCCAGCACCTGGGAGCAAAACGTCCGACATCGTGCTGAGCAAGCAGCACAACCCAAAAACACATCGCAGACCTCGACAGCACATCTGTGAAAACCTACGCAGTAGGGACCATTGCAAGGAGAACTTTGTACCCGCTCCAGTGGTCTGCTGTGGGGCACAGCAGATCTATGAATCCTGAGCAGAACCACAATTATTAAATGAAAAGCACAAGCAGTGAACGTCCAGAAGTCGCCTATACATGGAATCAATTCTTCAATAAAAAATAGCTTCAATTCCACCCGTGCAAAACAGCCATTATTGCCAGTTCTTGAAATATCCTTCCCCATTAAGTGGAAAGTCGGCTGTTGTCACGTAAATACCTTTTTGGTTTTTACTCAACTCACCTTACGTCATTAACCATCACTGATTTTGCTGAAGGGAGCAAGACGACAATTTTGCGTTCAGGCGGTGCTGCTGCTGCTGTTGAACATATCTGTGCCTGCACACCACGTGCTGTTCATCACGCGCTGCTCATCAACACAGCGAATGTCATCATGAGACCACACTACGTCGGGCACATGTATCTCCCACTACGATCGGCGGCGTGGACAATTTTCTCTAAAACTGCCAGGAGAACGCGCTGGTGCAGTCCTGGATGCCCGTCCACTTGCTTCGCCCGCATCGGAGACTCAAGACGGCCGCGTGTCGGAAGGCCGTGGAGTGGAGCTACGTGGCTCCGGAGTGGTGGTCTCTACTCAGTCGCATGGTGTGACTTTTGCGCCATTGAGGAAGATGGGAGCCAAGCGCAGCAGCGTGTGTGGTGCCAGCCCGCGCAAGCGTAACATGAGCTCGGCGAATGTCCCCATACCTATTGGGAAAAAACACAAGAAAGAAAGAAAGCATGATTTCTGTGCTGCTTTCTAACAAAGCTTGATTTTACTTTCCATGCCAAGTCTTCTTTAACTATGAATAATGTAACACAATTTTTGTTCCTGGGTAGTAAGTGTTATTTCGTAATTTGTTATGCCTAAAAAGTATAGAAAATGGCTATTATTTCCCACAAACTTAGCTTTTATGACCAGGACAGTGATATTTAGAAATACCTACTTTTAATGAGAAAAAGGGCGAATTTGGGCCTTTTCGTTCACATAAAGTCATAAAAAAACAACATATGAATCAAAATTAACATGTAATTATACTAAAGTAATAAAAAAATTACTACAAAAGATTTAGAAGTGAGTAGTTTTTTTGAAATTGTTCCTCCCCACAGAGAACTTGGTCCGCTGTAGACAGTCCCGCCTGTGGTAGTGCGCCTTGGTGTCTAAATTTTTTGTAGCGTGACTTGGGTCACCAACATGACAAATGCAATAAACATAAACACAACATTTTCTTGGTTCTTTCGGTAAAGTCATGTAGAAGGGAAATAACCAAAAAAATATATAAATAGATTTTTGTATTATTTTTTATTATTGTATTATTTCCCTTCTACGTCACTTTACCGAAAGAACCAAGAATATGAATCCCTGCAGTCACGAATGCAAATAGAAATCGCAGCAGAGAAATTATCATTTGCAGGTGTAAAGCATTGCGAAAAAATTTCTGCTAAAAATGTGGTATTCACACCATTCTTACAGCACACAGCTATCGTGAAGGCACTATGTTTCCCATAGTGTGCAGTGTAGTTTCGAAGTAGGTTGCGACGTTGCTGTTTAATCCCATTTGAGTAATTTGTGGGGGAATTTTTTTTAATCCGGTGAACTTGAACCATGTCGTCGGCACAGAATGGCGTGTTTCGAATGATCCTAGGAAAACTTTCATATCCACTGTGAAGTGGACAGGTTGTGAGTAATTTTAGGGTTAATATGCCCATAGTAATAACCAGGGCAACCTGCCGAATTTGAACTGCGAGATGTTAACTACCTCGTGGGGTATATACGAGGTTGTGGGTTCAATCCGGACCCGGACGCCTGTATATTTGGAGTTTACATGTTCTTCCCGTGGTCAAGTGGATTTTTCTCTGGGTCTTCTGTTTTTTTCCCTCCACATTTTTAAACATGCATTTCATAATATTTGGCTGCTATAAATGTCAACATAATAAGCCACTTCCTTGAGCTATCATTTGTGGCCAGGTTGCTTCTGAAAACGAGCTACATAGCTCAGCGATCCTTACTTGAAAAAAATAAAATAATTGTAAGGTCCCATTCTGAACGCAAATATTTTTTGTTTAACGCTAAATGTAACTCTCAACTCCTCACCTTCCATAACCGTGGGGCCGAAGGAGGCCGAAGTGGGCAGGTCGTGCATCACGAGGAAGGCAGCGAGCATCCCGAACTGCGACCTGGCCACCGTCTTCCCCAGCAGGTATGACTTTACAGCTGCTGCACCTGCTTGGGCTGTGCACACAGAAAGGGATGACCGGAAAATTGAACAAGTCAGGTAAAAATGGTGCACGCGCCGGGAGCATGTCACGCTTTGTCTGCGGAAGTATCAGTTAGTTAGTGGCACCGAAGCTGATGGGTAGCTGTTAGGGCAAAAAAGTGTTTGCAATTTATCAAATAGTCCTTTTCTTCCATGATTTTATGTTTCCTCAGTTTTGGGAAAGAGATCCACTTTCACAAGGGTTCATAGGTGAACGATCAAAGCAGGCAGTGGTGTCACCACGTGGACCATCGTTTGAAACTGGTGACCACAGTCAGTGTAGAAGGAAACAGCCGGATCTGCCATGTGATGGGGAGACCCGTTCTATACATGTGCAGACACGCACGCACGCACGCACATCCACATGCGCGCACTCACTCTGCAGCCACGTGTCCAGTGCCTGGTCCACCACACCCTTCATGGCATCGAGAAACTCGGGCACGATGAGGGGACGTGCCTTCCCGTCCGTGCCGGGGCAGCCCTCTCCAGCGACGGCTGCCGCGGTGACCCCGGGCGACCCTGCCACTCCGTGCCGCCCGCTGAACTCCAGCAGCAGCCGGAGCTGCCAGAGCGCGGTGGTGTCCGGGATGCTGCGCGACTGCAGCATGCGTGTCGCCTGCCCAGTCGAGGGGTTGACCCACGGATGAGGGGGGGGAGGGGGTACAAGTAGCAAGACATGAAACCAGCAGAGAACCACATCGTGTGTCACCTATGGACAAGACCTGGCTGATAAAAATAATGCAATTTATAACACGTGCAAATTTGCGGACGTAACGGCCGCAACTTAGAGGCGCGGAGCCAAGCTCAGAGTGGCTCGAAAGCGTGGTTGTAGAGGTGAGTTTTTAAGTCTCTCTTGAAGGAGGCGATTGAGGTGATGCTGCGAATGTGCATTTGGATAGCGTTCCAGACTGTTGGGGCTACCACCGAGAAGCGGTGCATAGACATGACCATCCTGGATCTTGGTATCAAGAGGAGGTCGTGAGTAGCGCTGCGCAGGCATCTGCCGTGTGCTGAGCTGCAAGTTGTCAATAATGAAAAAAGGTACGGTGGGGGCAGGCAGATGTGAAGGCATTGTGATGATCACAAGTGGTAATTGGTCTGGGGGGGGATAATGAAGGGGGCTTTAGATTGAGGGACTCAAGTTGAGTTTCAGGTCCAGGCAGGGTTGACTCTTCATTATCGTCACCACCATCATCATCGTCTGCAAGCAGTTTCAGTTTCCTTGCAGCTACAGATCCACAGCACCGTCTTTCACCAAGGGC